GCTGCAGAGATCGAATGGCAGTAGCAGGGAGACCAGCCAGGAGCGAGTTGCAGTAGTCCAGGTGGGAGATGACAAGAGCCTGAATCAGTACCTGGGCAGCCTTCTGAGTGAGAAGAGGACGTATTCTCCTGATGTTGTAGAGCGTGTATCTACAGGATCGTATTCTCGCTGTAATTGCTGCTGGGCCAATTAACCAAGAAAATGGAGACGGGTACTGCACTTTAAATTGACATTTTAATTTTAAACTCTACCAGAGGGTGTTGTCGATAAAAGCAAAAGTTATTTGTAACAACTGCAAACTGGATTGATTTTATCACCGGAGTACTGCAAGCCTGAAGGCTTAAAGCCGTCGCACAGCATTGATGGCAGCCAACAAGCCACCCAAAGAACCAGTGCAGCCAAACTTCGGCAGACTTCGTTGTATGTGGTGTGCTGGATGTTGAAAGTGAATTTTTCTCATTGTGTGACTGCTCAACCTGCATCACCGTCCCCTGCAGAGTAAATTCCAGCTTTTTGTGCTAAACCACTTTACCTCCCTCTAATAGAGATCCTTTCTGCTGAACATGTGCTGCATTATGCATTAGGCTCTTTCCCGATAACAGACACATGTTTCATATACTATATGTTAACTTGCTGTTGCTCCAAGAGTGCCTGTTATATTGTATCTGATAACATTACTTTAAAATAAAACACACACGTTTTTTTTGTTTCATTTTATTATTGACTTTTGCACATACTACGATTAATTGCTGTTAATCATAGAAAATTATGCGATTAATCGATTCCATTGTTTTTGTCTAAACAATTTAAACCACATTTCTGACCTTGGAGAGAATATACTGCTTACCGCTGGAGTCAATCACAGCTGACAGAAGGGCAAGAAAAGTAAGTCACAAATAAGGGACTGTGGGAGGAAGCCGGAGTACCCAGAGAGAATAACAGGCTTGGTGGAAAGATGAAAACTCCACACATAAAGGCTGCAGCACCGGGCGGGATTGAACCCGGGAGCTTCTTGCTCCAAGGTGACAGTGTTAATCACCACACCACACTGCTGTAAAAATCAAATGAGGAAAAGAGTTAGAAAATGAGGAATAAATACAGTGGAACAGAAAGAAAACTGCGGTTCGTTGCACTTGATCCTCTTTTGAGCCACTGATCAGCTTACGTAAAATGCCTTTACTCTAAATAACTTCTGTCAATTCCACTCAAGCCATCCATCCACCGAGCAGTCCACACATCTGCACATTTTTTCCTCTTTTTCAACGCGGCATGCTGGAAGCAGATTAAAGATTTCACTGGCTTGTTGGGTAATTAGAGTAGTAATTACCCTTTAATTGCTCCCGATCGGGGGGAATTAGCGAGAGCACTTGGTTGTTCACTTGGTGTTTCCCTCCGTCATTGTTCGCCGTCCTCCGGTTTCAGGCTTACTGACGTCATAGAAGTCAATTAGGATTGAAAGGAACTCGAGGAGGCTTCTTTTGTTCTACATGAGTTCTGGGGTTAAGCCGAACAAACGCTTTCTCTGAGACTTTCGCTTTCTGTAGCTGCTTTTCGGCTTCCGACTCATTGTACGGTTGTGTCCTTTATTCACGCTGGAGTACTCTTTCCAAAGCTCCAAGTTAAAGCGGCTTTTTAACCTAATATTGAATTCCCGGTTAGAAAAAGGAAACTAAGAGGTACTTCAAAATCAAGTTAAAAGTCAATATGTGGCATATATTAATCCTGATTTGATATAAAAGTTCAATATTAAATTTAGCATTTCACTAAAATACATATATATAAATACTATATCTACAGCCTGATTGGTTTCATTGTTGAGCAATAGATTACATTACATGTAATTTAGCTGACGCCTTTATCCAAAGCGACTTACAATCGAGGTCGTCTATATCTGAAGTGCGGGATAGTTTTTCATGGCTCCCGTTTATTTACTTAATCTACAAGGTGAAGGTTTAGTTCTTTTTTTTTTTTTAAAGGTTTGATTACACATTTTATATGAATGTAAGGCCGCTCTAAAGATATACATATATAGTTAAAGCGCAGGCGACATTAAAAATTCGTACTCAACAGTGGTATAAAGTCATTAAACTGGACATTTAATAAATACTTGCAAATAGGAGACAGAATCGACACACATACAAGTCATGCATCAAGGCTACTCAAAGGTCTTCTTCACTGTGCTGAGCACAGAGCAAAATTGACTACGGAAAAACAACGTTTTTCTGCTTTCCCTAAAACATATTGAACTTTTTTAATTGAAGCACAAGTTAAACCAGAAACCGAGGCATGCTATGAGGGGATTAGGTCATGATATATGAATTAATGAAAAAGATTGATTCAAAAGAGCAGCTTTGGGTGACGGTCGGCAGGTTGGCGGTTTGACACCACGTCAAACTGTTGTTAGACAATTCAACACTGTGATACGGGGGATGAAGCTGATAATCAGAACAGCATGACAAAAACGGCTTCTGTCAGTTTTCAGTACATGACAGTTTAGATTTTAGTATAAATTACAAACACATACTAAAGCAATATTAAGGCCTGAAATTATAAAGTGATGTGAAATGGAGTTTCTGCCCTTCAAACGTTTAGTTTATGCATACATTTTTCATCATAGTTATAAATAAAAATCCTGTTTATTTGTAGCAAACATTGCTTCAAAGTTTTCTGCCAGTAGCTAAAAGTAAATATGAATTTGTCTGAGGGATTCTAATTAAAGCACTTCAATTTGTCTGAAGTTTTCTCATGATGGAACATTTGGTCTTCCTAAGAAATAAACGAGCCAATTAAAAGATGTTTTGTTTGCAGAGCAATGTTATATCAGGGTACCTTTCATACAAAGCGGGTCTGGAACGTTCTCCATATTAAAATGCGGACGATTCTCACCATAATAACGACTAACAACAAACAGAAGCAGTAAGAATGTGCACCGTCTTAACAAAATCCGACCCTGCTGCATGTGTCTGCATAGTACTAGACCTATCTAGCTAATGCATTGTATTCTCATTAGGACGGTAGGAAGAATAGAACCCATTTTGAGTGTTTCCTAACGTCATCAACTGCCTACTTCTTCCTTCTTTCCTGCCTTCCGCCGAATCTTTCAAATCTTGCAAAAGATTGGTTTCAACCATCTTGACTGTGAGGGAGCTGGGAGGGATGTTTGAGTGAGGCCTCTTTCTTTGTCTGTCTGGGGGATGAGAAGCAGACAAACACACCATTCTTTACGGATAAAAGAAAACCGCTTATCAAACTGCGCTATTAAAACGTGGCCTTCCTTCTCCACGTGTGCCCTCATTGTCTTACTTCCTCCGCTCAGTGCGAATCCTGCAGCGATGGGCGTTGCACTGCGCCCCCTTCTAGTACCACGTTGTTTTCCACGGGCCGTCTCCTTCCTCACGTTGTCCAAGCCATCTGAGAAGAGAATGCCCGAAGATGGTATCTAACGGCCCTCCGCCTAACCTCCTCATTCTGAAACCTCAACTTGTCTCATGTGAATGTATTAAACTCACAAGTTAAAGTGTTGATTTAGTGCATCTTGCATTATACTACACTGAAAAAAATCTAACATTGGCTCAAATTAGAAAAATTGAGGTAATCGATCACAACTAATATTCTAGTGTTATACAATATAAATAATTCATTTGATTTGACCTGAAATATTTAACTTCGTGTAAACCCATTTCTGAAGGTTGAACCAAAGCAATTATTTCAGATTTTCCTAAATTAAAATAAATACATTGGTTTTATTGCTTAATGTAAATAATCTACTTTGTTAAACCTGATTATTTTAAATTCATTTAAACAACTTTTGAATATCGGAGAAAACTATTTTTTTAAGTTGTCTCAAATAAAAATTTAAAGTAATACTTTAATATTTATAGACCTGAATTAAAAAAAGATATTTTAATACATTTTGATTTAAGCTCAGAAGCCATTCCTTTTCAACACATTTATTGTTGAATGAACATTTTTTTCAACATAGTCCCACCTTAAAAACAGTCCTTCTCAATGATGTCGTTTCCCCTCAAATACAACAGCAACATCTCATTGTATTAACATAAACCAGTGCTTCTCAACCATCACATCTCAAACACAAACAGTAATGAAGACATGCATTTTCAAGTAAACCAACAGCATTTGGGAACATTTTTCTCACTGAACAGTGACCATTTGAAAATGCAATGTAATACAGTCAGAGAGGAATTATTCCTTAAAATCAAAAGTGATGTGTGTGAACGTCATCAGTTCCATAACTTGCAAACGAGTGAGGTAGCTCCTGATCCTCTTGGTCAGAAAATGCTGCAATAAACAAATCAGTGCTCTCCAGCACAATACCCACTTGTGCCTGTGAAACCTTAGGCAGATTCTTTTGTCCATACTGTAGCAGAAATGTAGTTGTGCAAGTGTTTCAAACACCAACCCCAGATAAAACGGTACAAAGTCTTGGTTGTAGAAATGCCATTAAATTAGGCCTAACAGTGGAACTCTACTGTGCCTACTCTTGGCTGCCAAGCTGGGTACTCAGCCTATGAATTTTTGGGGACATCTTTTTTCCACCAAGCTTCATCAGGACCTTTTGCACAAACTCAAGGGTATAGTGCATATTTTTGGGATATTTCATGTTGAGAACATAGGTGAGCCCGAAGAACATAGCAACAGCCGTTGCTATTGTGGGCACCTCTCTGAGGACCTCTGTTCCTGGAATGACGATTTTAATGTCCTCGTTTCCACTGACGATTACCATGGCTGCTTCATTTTCCTGCACACACAAAAAAACAAGAAATGAGGACAATTGGAAAGAACATTTCCTGAAGACAATGCATGTCAATGCTGAACATCATTGTTGAAGCAAAGTTGGTATATAGATATTGTTTGTGTTAGTGAGGGAGATGCCCTTACCTGGCAGTCTTTAATGAGGTGATGAACAGGTTCACCCAGGTAGATCAAAGATTTTAAGATGCACTCTCTTCTAATTGTGATGTCCACGGTCTGAGGAAATATAGGTATTAATAAAAGCACATACACACCAACTATTCAACTATGGATCGCATTAAGAACCAATTCATAAATAGATACCTCATCTAAAACCTGCAAAGTTGCCTTGGTCAGCTCTTTCACACGCCCTCCCTTGCTCCTGATGACCTCCAGCAGTTTTGACGTGTGCTTGTCCAACTGCGCTAAGAACTTTGTCTCCAAGGGTACTGTTGTCACCCGCATGAACTCAGCATTAATCTGGAGAAACAATAACAGAGCACGCAGAAAGAACTTTTAAAAAGTGTATTAAATAAATTCTCCTCTGAAAAGACCAAAGTTTTTAAGGTTAAAAAAATCATCTTTCATGAATGCTCATGAACACCATTGGTATTAACAAATATATTAAGTCCCTCTCCTCTCAAAAATAGGCTTACAGTGCCTTGCATCTGAAAACATACCTCCTCCATCTGAAAAAGTGCTGGCCATCTTGTCAACATGTCTTCAATGCTCGGCTGCTTATGCACTATTTCTTGTCTACGGTATCCAAACGTCTTTGCCATCTTTTATTTTATTGTTTGACGGTTGTTGTTTTTCTGTAGTTTACATTTCCACATACATGGATAACTGAGGAAAAATAAAAAGGCAGAGGAAAGGACGGTTTTAGGAGAGTGATCTAATTATCACAAATACACTCATGATATTGTACTCAGAACTTACTACAATAAGATGAGGGACTTCCAAACTGGTGGTTGCACAGCAGGAACACAGTGGATCTTGTGGCAGCTCTCCTTAAATTAAGAGAAAAAAACGTTTTAATGATGGATATTCTCAATGTTACATGAACTACATCTTAATACAGTTTAAAAATGACAAAACATTATTATGCCTTCTGTTCTTTTTAAATCGGATTTACTATGCCTATGAAATAAAATACCTGAAAAGACATTATTTAAGTTGCTTCATTATTACACAGGTCAGTTTAGCTTTACCAAAACGAGAAATAC